TTAACGTCAAACTACCAGGTTGTGCTAGACAGTGAAAAGTAAGCAGAGCTACCTCTCTGTGAACGAATTACTTGGAGTTTGTACGAGGAAGTTATAAATCATGAACGGGAGAGGAGGCGATACGGATGGCTCTGAATGCGATGTGGGGAAAAGTGGAAGTGTACATTACAAACAGCAAGCAAAGCGTGCTGCTCTTTTTTTTTCTTCTTTTTTTTTAATTGTGGTTTTGTCTTCATGTACCATGTTGGTGTTCTCTGTGTGCTTGTGCATCAAACCTGTTTCGACTGCCGCCCCAGTTGCCTGTTCATGCCCCGGTCAGGCAGCAGCCAGGTGAGCCGGGCACGGCTTCTCCAGCTGCTTTATTCCAGGCTGGACCGCACATCTGGAAAAAACAGCATAAAGTAATTCATTTCCCGAGTCTTCAACTGGAACTTTGTGAGTTTTTTTTCCTCTTCTGTAGCTTTTCCCTGCAGCGGCAAAAGCAAGCAAGCAGGTGATTGCTGCAGCACGCCCAGCCCTTTGCAAGGGGATGGGCTGTATGTCACGGTGTCCTACACCTCCCTGCTGGAAAAGACACTGAGTTAAACCAGGTTTGTCGTCTTGGTCTTGCTGCTCTGCTCTTTGGAGGGAGGAAGGGTTTGGAAGATGGCAAGAGAGCTCTTCTGACCCTTTTCCCGACGGAAAGCATCCCGGTGGCGTCACGAGCGTACACGATGTTTACCCGGCTGGCATAAACAGGTTGTGAACTCAGGAGGTTTGGGGTTTTTCCTGTTGTCAGTGGGCTCGGAGGGCAGTGGGGCTGCATGGGGGAATTTTTGCCAAGACTTCAAGGTGACCAATGTAGTGGCTCGCAGTCCGAGGAGTTTACTGCGTTTTATATGGTATACTAAACTGCCTTTTGAATTGATCGTAGTCGTTAATCTGCTACAGTGATAGCACTTACAACTGAGTATTCGCTGCTTAGGTCCCGGGCGCTCCGCCCCGAGCTATGCCATTCCTTGTAATAAAAGGCAGAACCTTCCATAAACCTCAAAATTTACTGTGTAATCCTTACTTCCTCTTCCTTCTTTCAAATCAAAGGTATAGCTGGGTTGAACCGAAGCTGTTTGCTGTTCGCGTTGATGGGTTCCTGTTGCTGTTAATGGTAGAGAAGCAGAAGTGGGGATTTCAGGAATAGCTTCAGAAGTGATACATTATCCTTGAAACAGCCTGGACGGTTTGAAACATCCAGCTGATTTATTCTCATCTAGTGGAATCAATTGGTGAAGGTGCGATCTCAATAAATCCAGCAGACTTAAGGGCTGGTCAGAGAGTGTACTGGTAAGGCGCTGTTTCATGCTGGTGGTGAAGTCTCGTGTGATGACTGGCGTGCCGTCCTCAGGTGCTGGGGATTAAGCAAATTGCCAGGTTTGCCATCGGGAGGGAGTTTTCTTCCCAGGTGGGTTTGGGTTTCTCTTACCTCCTCCTGTCGTGCAAGGAGCTGCTCGCGTTCCTCTCCGTGAAGGAGGACACCGTCGCTGCTGGTGCGGGTCTCTGCCGCTGCGCTCTTCCTCCTCCTCTCTTCCAGGACACTCGTCTGGTTTTAACCTTTTCCTGGAGACCTTGAGTTGAGGCTGTTTTGGGAAGAGTTTTGTAGTCTGCGGTGTGAGAGAGATCCTGCCGGGGCTCACCAAAACCGTACGCCTGCTTCTCGATGCCCTCTGACTTGCAGGAGATGGGGCCCATCAACCCAGGTGGCTCCCATAAAAGTCTTTGACATTACCAGTTTTCATCTCTTTTCCTGAAAAGAGGCAGAATAGCCTTTTTAAAGAAATCCTTCCGGTTATTTTATCTTTTTTCTCCTCCCCTTCTCTCAGTGCCACATTTGTTTTCCTTTAGGTCTCTCTGCATGGATATCCACGTTAGCAAAGTCTTTTCCGACCCTATTGCCTGAAAGGGTTAAAATTATTTTAGGGAGCTTGGTTTTAGGGCTCATCCACAATAAATATGGTTTAATCACTATTGTGGTAGGGGAAGCGTGCAACCAGATCTCTCTGTTGCAGTGTATATAAACCTTGAGCCCGCACTTGCAATCTTCAGATTTAGCTGTAAAAATCTTAGTGCAATCTCGTCCCAAGGTCTTCCCAGTAGCGTAGCTCGTCGCAAGGCGCTGTTTGGGTTGTGCTGTGGATTGCTCTTCTCTCCAGCAATCGCTGTCCCCAGTCGCTGCTTTCCAGCCGTCGTCGTCATGACAAAATGCTGTGAATTTTTAACAAAAACTTGGACTGAATTTTGATTTGCAGAAAAGTTGTAGCAGCAGCACTGTTCCTCGAAGGAAAACGGAGCTGTCGCTTTCCGACTGTGTGAGCAGCAAAAGCACAGGGACGCTGAGGCCATTTCCAAGTAAAGTTTGTCGGTGTCTGATAAGGGGGCGATGGTTACGAGGAGAAACGGCTGCTGCAAGTTCGCGAAGGAATGGCAGGGTGCAGGATGGGACGTCCTCAAGAATATGTAATAGGAGAGGGGTTTGTTGCAAAGGGACATTGTGCATTTTCATCTAGGTGTTAATCTGGTGGGTCTGACCTTTGTCAGGAGTTGGGGCACGAAGGATTTGCCGCTGGAAATGCTCCGAGCGGGGTGCTCAGTGCTTGCTTCTCTCCATCGCTCCGAGATGAGCTGTCTTGGTTGGCTGGAAAACAGCGCTCAGTGAAGTATTCAGTAGGCATTGCCTGTCTTTACGTTAGGATTTTGACTGCATTAATTTTTTAAATAAAACTTAGTGCCAATAAGAGATTTAGATCATTTCCATTGCTTGTGACGTTAAGGCAGGTAAGCCAGTTTGCATAGTTCTTCTGCCTGGCAGCTTTGCCTGTGATGTGCTATGAAATATCCTGGTACAGCTCCAGGTACTGCCTTTCCCCATCCCAGGTAAAACTGGGGAAAACGAAGGAGTAAAAATACAGTGTAAATGTTCTTAAAGTTTGGAGCCTGAGTGCTCGAAGTGCCGGTGTAGCTCTTGGATCGGCACAGGCTGCTGGAGTTGCTCCTTCTCATCCGTCTGAGGTTGGAGAATATGAAGATGCTGAAAATAAACCCAGATCAGGCTCTTTTTTTTTTTTTTTTTTTTTTTTTTAAGGAGGTTTCCTACTGACTAAGCAGTCTTGCTTCAAGAAAGTCACTGTGATTAATAGCACATCTCAGTATATATAAGCTGGGCGATAGCTGGCCGGTCCTTTGTTTTAGCCCTGGGTTCAGATGCGTTTGCACCGAGTTAATAGAAATAAGATTTGCGATTCCCGGCCAGGCTGTCCGATCGCTCTTTCGGGGGAGAAGCAGTTGTCATGCTGCCGTACTGTCAGCAGAGATACTTACACCGAGTTACTGCTGCAGTTAAAAGCTGCTTTCAGAGGGCTGTCTGAGCGGAGCGGGGTTTGGAAAATGCGGCTGCCTGTCAGCTGGGGTACGCCGAGCCGCGCCGAGCATCTCCGTGCTGCTGGCTGCCTGCCGGGGCTGCGTGCTGGTTACTCGCTTTCATAAATACCAAAATTAACTTAGCCTTTCTGTAAAACACACCTTTCTTCCATTATTGTGAGTTCAAGCACGGTCACGCTGTAAACACAGATCAGCCGAGGGGAGGCACTTTGTGTATTGACTATGATTTTAATGTCGTGTCCCCCCCTTAAAAAAATATATATATTTCATCCAACACCACATAGAGAAACTTGTGGTCACTTGCACGGGGCTTATACTATCAAAATGGCAATTTCACATAATGCTTACGTGACATTGTTGAATAACGGGGTGGTGGGGGTGAGCAGCGGTTAATTATGTTGTATAATTATGTTAATCTCTTGTTGCTAAAAACATTTCAAAGACTTTGTCCAACTATTGTGTGTTGGCCTTACTCTTGAAATCCATTTTAAAAGGAGGAGAAAAAAAATCCGGGATGGGAGGAATGCTTAATTCTCTCCCTCTCCCCTCACCCCACCCTGTGCCACCCCCTTGGTGCCCGGTGTCCCCGAGCACCCGGAGGGATGCCGGAGAAGGAGGAGGGATGCTCCGGGGTGCCGGCCGGCGGCGGGGGGAGCCCCGCTGCGGGTTGCCTGCCGCCGGCTCAGACTGGTTTCTGGAAAGTGCTTTGTCTCGCAGGCTGCATCCTGGGAAGGGTCATGTGGAGCCCAGTGATGTCATGGGATCAAAGCCTGACTCAGCTCCGCGTCCGATGGATGGGTGTCCGCAGGTACCGAAGTGCGGGCTGAGATGTCAGAGCCCGCCAGGAGCGAAACTTCCCGCGCCTCCGGCAGGCGAGGAGTTAAGCCTGGTTCCCCCGAGTCCAGCGCTTCCTCTGCCGCCTGGAAAAGCCTGGCTCCTTCACCAGGAGGGGAGAAAGTCTCAACTTGAGTATTACAATGGCAGCGCCTTAGCGCCTGGCGGCAGGCTGTCAAGAAATATGGAAGCCTCTCTTCGCGCAGGGTGTGGTGGTCCTTTTCCCCATAGTGTCTGATTCCCGAAACTTGCAATCAGGCTTAGGTCCTCAGAAAGACATGGCAGCAGTCCCAGGGAGATCCTAATCGAGAATTTTGTAATTGCAGTTATTTGCATGTGAGGCAAATACATACGTTCTTCCTGCCTCTTGGTAAAGAGCCAAACTTTTTTCGTCGTGGGGGTTTGTATGTTCTCCTGTGCTCTCATGCAGGCTTGCTTTTTCTCTTTGGTGATTCTAGTTCGTGCTTAGTGGGGTTTGTGTGTGTGTTCTTGTTTTGCCTTTTTTTTGTTTGTTTGTTTTTGCCTAACATAAAAAGTGTAAGTACAGTGATGCCGGGTGCTTAATAGCTTCAGACTGAGATGTATTTTGAAGATAGGGTAAGTGAGCATACTGGCAAAACTTTTATTGCTCTTTCTGAACTTCTTTCGCAGTAACCGCTGTACTTTGCCCTGTTTTGAAATTAAGGTGTTTTGTCCAACTTACTTTTTTTCCAGCGTACTTAACTCATTTGTATCTCCTCTCTCCCCAGAGCCTCACAATGACAGAGGAAGCATGCAGGACACGAAGTCAGAAACGAGCGTTAGAACGTGAGATAACGCATAACGATGTGGACAGTAAAAAAATAAAAATGGAGAAAGGACTATTAGGAACAGATATAAATGCTGAAGGCGACATGAAAATAAAAACAGATCCTGGAGCTGGAAAAGTGCAAGGATTATTAAAAAGCGGAGAGGTGAAAGCAACCATTAAAGTGGAGGTTCAGACGGGAGATGAGCCTGTGGACATGAGTACCTCAAAAAGGTGAGTTCCGACCTGCGCGCTGCAGCTGCGCTGTAAGTTTTGGGATACCGGCACAGTGAAACGCGGTCAGATGGCACTAGGAAGGAGTTCTCTGCATCTTAAAGGTGGAGAGGATTAAAGTTTCGGGTGTGCGGTGCAGCTCTGGCTCTTCACGTGAGATTCAACAGCCACTTCTGTATAACTTCCATACTGATTTTTTTCTTCCACGAGCTTTGACAGCAGTGGCAGCTGTGATGAGCAGCTGAGTAAAGAAATACGGTCTTGAATAGGAGAGCGTACACGTTATAAAGAGGATGCGCTGTGAGCTACTGATTGAGATTTATGTGAGGAAGAGTGGTTTGGGGTTTTTTTAATTGAGCTGTGATATAGGAAAAATAATAGATTATAATTGTCTAAGCAGAGGAGTTTTAATTGCAACTCGATTCTTCCTGACAGCGCGGTATGTATGGATAAGTCTGGCTTTTCTTTTTGAAGTTACTTGTGGATTTTGACACCAGAAGTATTATGAAAAGACAGCACCTGCCTGCAGCAGTTCCCTGTAGGACAAGTTCTTAATAGTTTCTTGAAAGTCCAGCCTCCTCACGACATCTGAATTTTGACATCTGAAAGCATGAATTCAAAGTTCCTCATCGCTTTGGAGCATTTTAGTATTACAAAAACGTAAAGCTTTTCCTTTGACTTGTATACGAGATCCGCACATGAATCGAGTGGTTCTGACGTACAGATTTACGGGCATCGCTTTAAAGCCAGATTCCAAATCTTCCACCGCGCTTAGAAATTAAACCCAGGTTCTGGCTGCACTAGGATAAAAATTCTGTCAAAAATCGTGCGGCCCTGATGTTGGTCCTTCAGAGCCTTGCTTTTTTCTTTATAGCGCAGTAAGATGCAATAGCTTGAGCAGGAAGCCTAGAAGCCTCGTTTATTCCTGGTTCTGACGCAGCTGATGTTGGAGGGGTGATACGCAAGAACTGAGACCTGCCTGTCCGTGCAAAATGGCTTAAACAGGTCTCGGTGCGAGAAATCTGTGTTCGCTCGGCTGGCAGGTATTGCAGCCGTGCGGATTTGAGGCGTGAAACTGAAAACACGAGATCCTTATCAATTGCGCAGGAATTATTGGGAGGAAGGGCACTTATGGGTGCTACTAAGAACATGGGTGTCTCTGATGTTTCGTGGCAGTTCGTCTGTAAACTTTTCCCAACTTTTGATGTTTTCCTAAGAGAAATAACTTGGGCTGCGAGAGCCTGATCATTTTATCCAAATACTGCTTCAGTATATGTAAAACAAGACCTCTTCCATCAGCGTGATTGAGGGAAGGTGATAGTTTTCAGCTTTCTCCATAGAACTTCTGCCAAAGGGACAATTACACAAGTTGCTCAAATTGATATTTAGGAGGCGCTTATGTCTTGCACAGGAGCAGTTAATTGGGGTAATGGATGACTTCCATGTCAAGCAGTTGTATTGTGCTGGCTAGGAGTAAATCTCTGAAGGTGTCTTTTGGCGTAATCACTACTTACTAATTAACACAGGTATGCATGCTCTTTTTTTGAAGAATATCTAAAAAGATTGCTCGTACCAAAAACTGAATAAATTAGAATCAGGTATTCTAACTCTTTTGTTGCAGTGCTTGCCCCTGCATGCATATGCTGTTGGTGAATTTATAATATTTTTGAAATGCGTGCCAGTGTTTCTGCTCCGTTGGTGTCGGGTCTCCGTTGCAAGACGCGCAAACAGGATGATGAAGAAGGGGCTGTACGCTTAACTTCCCAGAGAGCACCTGGAACAATATCACCTATTTAGATGAGAGGAGAGGACATCCTCTCCCCGTACAGCATTCTTATTTCAGGCGGTAATAGGATATTGTTGTATTCAGTTTCTGCAAGGAGGGAGAAGAGGCTTCCCCATACAAAAAATATGCTTGCATAAGGAGGCAGTCCGATCCCAATTCTGCTGAAGTTAATAAATATAATTAAGAATTTGACGAGGCTTTGGATAAGCTCTTTGGATGCCGTTTGTAAGCTGGAACACCTTTCATAACGCATATTTTTATAAAATTCTTAGTAGAGAGGAATTCAACCCTGGGTCGTCTCAAATGACAAAAATGAGCCTGAATGATTCTGCAAACTCCTGGAAGGAAGGCAGCAGCTTCCCAGGCTCTGGGGCTCCGCTCCCGCGTCGTGGTGGTGCCCTCGGTCTGTGCGTGGCTCCGCTCCCGGAGCGTAAACGTGGCGCTGAGCAGCTGACTGGCCTCAGGATGCAAACATCTCCGAGCGAATGCGATCTGAGCCTGAAGATGCCTGCGATAGAGAGGAAGCTTGTCTCTGGATGAGCCTGATCCCTTGCATATATAAGGATACAATTGGCATAAGAATACAAAAGGTGGATCTTAATTTCATAGGGATTTTTTTTTTTAAAGTGTGGGACTCACCTTTCCAGACCTTTGATCTTCCGAGGAGTTTCACTTGCAGCTTTTGTAAGACCTGTGTCTTTAAAGCAGTTGAGCTGATTTTCTGAGGAGATGAAAAAAGAGCTGTTGCTTAAAACAACTGAACTGCTACAAACTTCTTGGGTAAAATTCGTGCTTAGTGATGTATGGTGTTTTGCCTTTTAAACTTCCTTAATGCTTTTAGAACTAAAACCATAATATTTTCCTTGGAAAAGGTAGCCCAGCAATAATCACAGCTTAGCTGACGTGAAGCTGATTGAATGGATTATCTTTCTGAAATCGGTTGATTTTCAAGATCTGAAATACAAACCTGGCAATATCTCTGTGTTAAACTTAAAAATGTATTTCTTTTATTTTTTTTTTTTCTAAACCTTGAAGTTAAATTTAAAAATAGGATCTGGTTTGAGCACATTTTCTGATGCCAGAAGAAACAGAAGGAGGTCTGTAGTGGTAGAAGTCTTTGAGAGGTCACACAAGGCCAAACCAAAGTCTTGCTGCTCTGTGGCGTTTCTGCAGCCCTGGGAGCTAGCTATGCTGGTGTGTAATTATCCTAGACCTACTGCAGAGAAGGAATGGGAGGAAGGAGAGTCCTCCCCTCTTGATAAGGACATGCGGTGGGATGGTAGCATAGTGCAGTGTAAATCGCTTTTGCTTGGGAATACGCCGATCTACATCAATACAGGTGCTGGAGGGAA